TCTCAGAAGACCTACGATTAAGAATTGTTGACTTGCATAAAGCTGGAAAGAGTTATAAAAGTATCTCCAAAAGCCTTGCTGTTCATCAGTCCACGGTAAGACAAATTGTCTACAAATGGAGAAAGTTCAGCACTGCTGCTACTCTCCCTAGGAGTGGCCGTCCTGTAAAGATGACTGCAAGAACACAGCGCAGACTGCTCAATGAGGTGAAGAAGAATCCTAGAGTGTCAGCTAAAGACTTACAAAAGTCACTGGCAAATGCCAACATCCCTGTTAGCGAATCTACAATATGTAAAACACTAAAAAAGAATGGATTTCATGGGAGGATACCACAGAGGAAGCCACTGCTGTCCAAACAAAACATTGCTGCATGTTTACAATTTGCACAAGAGCACCTGGATGTTCCACAGCAGTACTGGCAAAATATTCTGTGGACAGATGAAACCAAAGTTGAGTTGTTTGGAAGAAACACACAACACTATGTGTGGTGAAAAAAAGGCACAGCACACCAACATCAAAACCTCATCCCAACTGTGAAGTATGGTGGTGGGGGCATCATGGTTTGGGGCTGCTTTGCTGCGTCAGGGCCTGGACGGATTGCTATCATCGAAGGAAAAATGAATTCCCAAGTTTATCAAGACATTTTGCAGGAGAACTTAAGGCCATCTGTCTATCAGCTGAAGCTCAACAGAAGATGGGTGTTGCAACAGGACATTGACCCAAAGCATAGAAGTAAATCAACAACAGAATGGCTTAAACAGAAGAAAATACGCCTTCTGAAGTGGCCCAGTCAGAGTCCTGACCTCAACCCGATTGAGATGCTGTGGCATGACCTGAAGAAAGCGATTCACACCAGACATCCCAAGAATATTGCTGAACTGAAACAGTTCTGTAAAGAGGAATGGTCAAGAATTACTCCTGACCGTGTGCACGTCTGATCTGCAACTACAGGAAACGTTTGGTTGAAGTTATTACTGTCAAAGGAGGTTCAACCAGTTATTAAATCCAAGGGTTCACATACTTTTTCCATCTGCACTGTGAATGTTTACATGTTGTGTTCAATAAAAACATGGCAACATTTCATTATTTGTGTGTTATTAGTTTAAGCAGATTGTGATTGTCTATTGTTGTGACTTAGATGATGATCAGATCACATTTTATGACCAATTTGTACAGAAATCCATATCATTCCAAAGGATTCACATACTTTTTCTTGCAACTGTATATCTATATATTTTTAGCGCTGGTATACTTCTTCTTGCTTCGTTGTACAGACAGCCACTAGACACTCTTCCACAGTACTGACCGAGTATGTGGCATGGAAGCCCATAGAAAAGCACTAAATATAATGCTTTCTCATGGGAAAGCTAGAATGCACTTCCCTGCGCATTAGGTCATAGAGCAACATGTGTTGCTCTATGAGGACATTTTCTCGATGACATAACGAGTAGAGTTGAGTGGGCACCTGAATGTTTGGTTTGGCGGGTTCGGCTGAACTTTGAAAAAAAGTCCAGGTTCGAGCCCGAACTTGACCCCGAACCTGAACCCCATTGAAGTCAATGGAGACCCGAACTTTTGGGCACAAAAATGGCTCTAAAAAACTCCTGGAAAGGGCTAGAGGGCTGCAAAAGTAAGTAAAATGGGGGTAAGAGTAGGACAAGTTCCCTGCAAACAAATGTGGATAGGGAAATCACTTAAAAATAACATAAAATAAGCAGCCACGGAGCTATCTACCAAAAGGCTGAAAGACCTAAATTGGTCACCTAAATTGGTCTTTTAGCCACATTTACTAATACTAAGTAAAGATTACTTAGTATTAGTAAATTCAGCCCCTACTCGCTATACCGTGGGTGGGGGCCATAAATAAAAATTGGGGGGGACCTAATGTTCTCACCCCAACCCCCACCCCTGCATGGTGGGTGGGGGCCCTAAATAACAATAAGGGGGACCTACTGTCCTCCCCCCAGGCCCTCATCCCTGAGCGGTGGGTGGGGGCCATAAATAAAAATTGGGGGGGGACCTTATGTTCTCCCCCCCGGCCCCAACCCCTGAGCAGTGGGTGGGGGCCATAAATAAAAATTGGGGGGGACCTAATGTCCCATCGCTCAGGGGTGGGGGCCGAGGGGAGGACAGTAAGTTCCCCCCTCTAATTGTAATTTAGAGCCCCCATCCACCGCGCAGGGGTGGGGGCCGAGGGGGAGGATATTGGTCCCCCCTCCAATTTTTATTTATGGCCCCCACCCACCGATCAGAGGTGGGGGAGGACATTAGGTCCCCCCCAATTTTTATTTATGGCCCCCACCCATCGCTCAGGGGTGGGGGCCAGGGCGGGGACAATAGGTCCCCCCCTTACTGGTATTTAGGGCCACCACCAACTCGCACCTCACGGCTGGGGGCTCAGGAGGGGGGATTTTTTATTTTTTTTTACTGTGAGCAGCCACATGCGGTGGGTGGAGGCCATAAATAAAAATTGGGAGGGAGGAACTAATGTCCTCCCCCCCGGACCCCATAGGAAAGCATTGAATAATGGCCATGCTGACGTCGAAGGGGAAGGAGAGTAGGCGGAGCCTGACCCTGACTTCCTTGAGCTTCTGGCAAAGATCTCTAATGAGACAGAAAGGGGTATTTTTTATATACACCCCTATATATTATTAACCATTAATAGGGAACACATGGGATGGGTGTCTGCATTGTAACAAGTCTGAGTGAAAAAAATGGATACAAAAAATGGATACAAATGCAGAAAGATAAGTCCTGCGCTCACTCCCATCACTGGGCGGCAGCAATGACTACAGTACACATCAGCCCCAATATATAGTAAAAACCAAAGTTTACAAGTTACCTGCGCTCTCTTCTTAATCCCTATGTATATTTAAACAAATGGAGGTTTTTTAGTTACCTCCAATGGCCATGAGAGGATAAGCCCACCTGCCAACATCAAGGCAGACCCCCCCCCAGGTGGGTCCTAGCTCTAACCATTCACCTTGCTTCCTTGAGCTTCTGGCAAAGATCTCTAATGAGACAGAAAAGGGTATTTTTTATATACACCCCTATATATTATCAGGGCCGTCTTTAATATTGATTGGACCCTGGGCAAAACATTTGCTTGGGCCCCCTGGACCATGTACACCCTCCCCAGGCGTGCAAACACGTTATCACCCTTAACGCAGTGGCTACCTAAAGTAGAGAGATGCAAGAATATTTTTTTTGGGCCTCCCTATTGCAAGGATGTTTAAAAGGTAGATCCCCATCTGTTGTGCAACTCCAGCAATGCCTTGACAGCTGGGGCTCTACCATTTATCCATATTTGCAGGTTTGTATTTAGCACTAAGCTGTTTTTGTGTGTTTCAATGTAAACAGGTTTTTGTATGGAATATGTTTGTATGTGGCATTGGCGTTTGAATGTAAGCATGTATTTATGTGTAGTGTTGGTTTTTGAATGCAGGGGTGTGTATACATATAATCTTGGTGTTTAACACAGACGTGTATTTGTATGTTGTGCTGAAGCTTGAATGCAGGGGTGTATTTGTGTGTAGTGTTAGCGTGTGAATGTTGAGATGTATGCACATATACACACACAAACACACAGGTAGATATGCACACAACCTGACACACAAATACACACCCTGACACACATACTAATAACATAACATACAGATACACTGAAACACACAAAGACAACGTACAGATACACACTGACACACATACAGACACACCGATACACATCCTGACATACACAAAGATACAAACACTGACACACATGCAGTTACACAGACACATATACACACCTGGACACAAAGATACAAACACTGACACACATGCAGTTACACAGACACATATACACACCTGACACACTTGCAGATACACACACACACAGACTTCATACAGATACACACACATATATACACACTGACAAACACAGAGATACAAAAAATGACAACATATAGATACACACACAGATATACAGACAAACTGACACACAAACATACACTGATAGACATACTTACACAGACACATAAACTGACAGACATACTGACACATAGACAGACAGATATATACTGAGACACACACAGACATACTGACACACTGACAGACATGCTGACACATTCACCAACACACACACCGACATACAGACACAAAGAGTCAAACTGATACAGACATGCACACACCGACATACAGACATGCACACACTGACATACATATGGACACACAGAGACACATACACTAACAGACATGCTGACACACACACACATATACTGACAGACATATTGACACACATTCACAGACACACACACAGGCATACTGACACACACACGCACTGACAGACATACTGACACATACACTGACAGACATACTAACACACACACGCACTGACAGACATACTGACACACACACACGCACTGACAGACATACTGACACATACACTGACAGACATACTGACACACACGCACTGACAGACATACTGACACATACACACATACTGCACACACACTGACGCACTGACAGACATACTGACAGACATACACACACACTGACAGACATACTGACACATACACTGACAGACATACTGACACACACACTGACAGACATACTGACAGCACTGACAGACATACTGACACACGCACTGACACATATACCACACTGACACACGACACTGACAGACATGACACTGACACACACTGACAGACATACTGACACCCGCTGAACATACTGACACTGACAGACATGCGGCAGACATGCGGCAGACATACTGACACACACACTGGCAGACATGCGAGCACAGCACTGACAGACATACTGACACACGCGCTGACAGACATACTGACAGACATGCGACAGACATACTGACACACACTGACAGACATACTGACACACACTTTATTGAACATACTGACACCTGCGCGCTGACAGACATACTGACACACGCACTGACAGACATGCGAGCGCTTACACACTGACGAACATACTGACACACACACTGACAGACATACTGACACACGCACTGACAGACATACTGACACACGCACTGACAGACATACTGACACTCGCACTGACAGACATACTGACACATTCACAGATACACATGCAAAATTTACACTATTAAACCCACCCTTTCTACGTTGGAGGGTGACTTTCCTACCAGTGGCTGAAGCTGCTGGGAGTTGGGGTCTGGCTAGCTCGGCCCGGACCCCCACCGCTCTGCCTCTTCCTCCTCCCGCGCGCTCCTCTCTCTATGGGAGGAAGTGACGTGCAGCCGTCACTTCCTCCTAGCCGGCTGCCGAAAAGCAAGAGGGCCTGGTCGCGCTCTTAAAGTGCCAGAGCGCAAGACCGGGCCCCTGCTGACAGAAGCCCACCGGGTGCGTGGCTGCACCGGCAGTTGGGAAAAATGCTTGAGGTCAGCGGGGCCTACGGTGCAGCTGCTTCGGCCCCCAAGAGTAACTGGGCCCGGGGCAGCTGCTTCGGCCCCCAAGAGTAACTGGGCCCGGGGCAGCTGCCCCGTTTGCCCCGCGGTAAAGACGGCCCTGTATATTATAGCTTAGAGATGGGCCCCAATGTGTCCAGGAACTTGTCCTGGCAGTTCCAAAGTGAAAAGTCTAAGCCTTTCCTCGGTTTCAACCTGACATTTAAAAATTGGACCAACTGAGGATTCACGTCAGGGGTTTTCCCCACTGAGTCTGGAAGGATGGCCCGTGGGCATTCCGCCCGTAGTTTGTTAAGCCTCTTCTTGGATAAAGGTTTCCGCACTCTTAGCGCAAGGTATCTCACAATGTGCTCAGGCAGCTCCCATTCCTCTGAGCGAGGGTGACGGAGAACATCTGGGTCAAACAAATTTGTCAAACCCTGCCCTCAAACCAGTGGCGTACATACAGGAGTCGCAGCTGCGACCGGACCTGTCACTCCAGGGGGCCCGGCTGCCGTGCGGACCCCTGCAACCAGGTGCCCGCTGTCACGTGTTGCGACCTCAGCCCACGTGGTAAAGCCGCCAAGGCCGCACGTGAAGGGGCCCATCGGGTGGCCCATGCTGTTAGGGGCACCCGATGGCTATGGATTTCCAATGGGCCCGGTCAGTGCTGCGGTGCTTTAACAGCACGACCGGGCGCCCTGAGATGACATCAGACGCTGGGAGGAAGTGACTGCCCCAGAAACTCTTCCCAGCTAGCAGACAGAGCCGGGCGGGAGGAAGAGAGGAGGGAGTCAGAGTGGGAACTCTGACTCCCATCAGTCTGAGCCACCACTGGACCCAAGGGAAATCACCCTCCTGCATCTAAAAGATAGGAAACAGGAGGGGGACTAAAATATTTTGTATATGTGTGTGTTTGTTTGTATGTATGTTTGTGTGTCTGTATGACTGTTTATCTGCCTGTATGTGTGTGTTTGTGCGTGTATGTATTTGTGTGTATGTCTGTGCATGCGTGTGTTTTTATGTGTGTGTCTGTATATATGTGTCTGTGTGTGTTTGTATGTATGTGTTTGTATGTGTGTGTGTATGTATGTTTGTGTGTGTCTGTATAAATGTGTCTCTGTTTGCGTGTGTGTGTTTGTATGTATGTGTCTGTATGTATGTATGTGTGTTTGTATGTATGTGTGTGTGTGTACAGAGGCGTACATGCAGGGGTCACAGCTGCAACCAGGGCCTGTCACTCCAGGGGGCCCGGCCGCCCTGCAGACCCCTGTGACCGGGTGCCTGCCACCATGTGTTGCAGCCTGGCCCACGCGGTGGAACCACTAGGGGGTGGCCCACGGATCAGTTTTCGCACCGGGGCCCCATGCAGGGCCGTATTAGCCGCGAGGCAATCAAGGCATTTGCCTTGGGCGGCATTTTTCAGGGGGAGGCAAAAAACGCCGCCCCCCAAATGCCCAGGGCAAATGCCTAGTTAGCCTTGCGGCTAACTGACATTCCGAGCGGGCTGGCAGGCGGGCGGCTGGCGAGGGAGCACTTCCTATGAGCTCTCCACTCAGCTCCCTCGCGCCGCAGAGTGAGGCTGGGAGCCGGAAGATGACGTCATCTTCCGGCTCCCAGCCTCACTCTGCGGCGCGCGAGGGAGCTGAGAGCTCATAGGAAGTGCTCCCTCGCCAGCCGCCCGCCTGCCAGCGCCGCCCGCCCGCCCGACCTGCAGCCACTGGACCACCGGACCACCAGGGAGAGAGACCCCCCCCCCAGCACTCCCAAAGGTAAGGAGGTTGGGGGGGGATTTAAATTAAAAAAAAAGTTAATGTGTGTTTGTGTCTGACTGTGTGTGTGTGTGTTTGTGTCTGACTGTGTTTGTGAGTGTGTGTGTTTGTGTCTGACTGTGTTTGTGTATGTGTGTGTGTGTGTGTTTGTGTCTGACTGTGTGTGTGTTTGTGTGTGTGTGTGTGTTTGTGTCTGACTGTGTGTGTGTGTGTCTTTGTGTCTGACTGTGTGTGTGTGTGTGTTTGTGTCTGACTGTGTGTGTGTTTGTGTCTGTGTGTGTGTGTGTTGTGTCTGACTTTGTGTCGACTGTGTGTGTGTATGTGTCTGACTGTGTGTGTGTGTGTGTTTGTGTCTGTGTGTGTGTGTTTGTGTCTGACTGTGTGTGTGTGTTGTGTGTCTGTGTGTGTGTGTTTGTGTCTGACTGTGTCTGTGTTTGTGTCTGACTGTATGTGTGTTTGTGTCTGACTGTTTGTGTGTTTGTGAGTGTGTGTGTGTGTGTCTGACTGTGTATTTGTGAGTGTGTGTGTGTGTGTCTGACTGTGTGTGTGTGTGTGTACATGTGTGTGTGTTTGTGTCTGACTGTGTATGTGTGTGTGTGTTTGTGTCTGTGTCTGTCTGTGTGTGTGTGTGTGTGTGTCTGACTGTGTGTGTGTGTTTGTGTCTGACTGTGTTTGTGTCTGTGTATGTGTCTGACTGTGTGTGTGTGTGTGTGTATATGTGTCTGACTGTGTGTGTGTTTGTGTCTGACTGTGTGTGTGTATTTAGAAGGTGGGGCGGGGGGAAGGGTTGGGTGGGGGTGGCGCGGTGGGGAGGGGGGCGCCTGAGTTTTGTCCTGCCTAGGGCAGCACAAAACCAGGATACACCACTGGCCCCATGGATCGTGTGTAAGCCACTGCCTAGAACGTAACCTTGATACAGTGAGGTATAATAACTATGCAGTCGCAAGGTGTGAGCAACAAGAAACAAAAGCATCACAAAGCTGCTCAAGATTAACCTATTAACCTAAGCTATACACACTAAATTATATGTAAAAGAGAAAAGCATAACATTTTCTGTTTTTCTGTCACTATCTTATCTCATACTGTTGTAAATGAAATCTGAACGAAAAATAAAACAAATAAACTGATTAGCAGTAATACTATATATATATATATATATATATATATATATTTAAATGTTTCATTTCTATTGTAAGGTGCACACATGACACAGTTACATAGGTACAGAGAAATGCAACATGTTGAGAGATATGGATTTACACAGAGTTTCAATATAATCTAACAGACAACAGCTAGGCATGCAATAATACATAATTGACTCCTAGGATTGGAGGACATAAGTATTACTGCATATCCATAATGAATGGGGACCTTTAGTCATGAACAGTGGTTGGGAGCTATGAGATATGTTGCCATCTGGAAGTTACGGGAAACCTTTGCATCCTTACAGTTTTGATAACTTTACATGGTGAGGAACTCTCAAGAATTAGTACACATTTGTTCATTAAAAATCATATTAAATATAGAAATAAAAGAGAAACACAAAAGATAATAGGGAAACAGAGGGTTGAGATACTTGCTCTATGATATCATTTTGGAGTGGTGCATAGGGCTTGCCCATCGCACATATGTAAAAGATCTCTAATGAGACAGAAAGGGTTTTTTTTATATACACCCCTATATATTATTAACCCTATGTCCATCTGGACCAGACCCTTTCATACTGCTCTAGGGTGCCTGCAATGGTATGCAATATATTTTTCATATTGCTGCGTGTGATTCACCTTATTGATAACCAGTACGGGGTCGGGCCTACTGGTTGATTTCCAAAGGGTAGCTATACAGAGTTTTGCTGCAAGTGTGATATGGATGGTCAGTGCCGCTTCATGTTTTGCAAACGTTGTGGGCAGTAGGTAACTCGGGGGAGTAGGTTACTCTCCGGTGCGAGGGGTAACGTCTTTCCCGTGCTTTTTTCTATTAATAGTTGGATTTGTAGCCAGAAGGCTGTGAGTTCTGGGCAGTGCCAGAAGATATGGCTTAAGGTGCAACGCCAACACATTTGGTGGTCAGCCGGGTATATATGAGCTAGTTTCTGGGGGGGGGGGGTAAGGTATCATCTCATCCACATTTTATAACCTGCCTTTATGTGATCCAAACAATGTGTTTACTTTTTTCATTTGCATCATGGCTAGAAGCCATCTGCTTGGTTCTATGCTACTTCCAAGCTTCCTTTCCCATTGGACCTTGTAGACCAATTTTAGAGGCCTGTCCAGCTCCAGTAGTGGTCGGTAGCAGAGTGAAAGTGGCTTCGCACACACATAATAATTGTTACGGAGCGCTCTCTCCACCTGCTGCATTTGGTGAGTTTCCAGTTCTTTCCTAATATTGTGCATTAGGGTGCTATTGGACTCTGTAGGAGAGTTTTTATGCTGGTCCTCTAACACTTTCAGATCTTTCATGAGTTTCCAAATTTTTTTTTAAAGTTTTCGCCTCTGTCGTGCACCTAGTTTGATCAATAGACCTCACACTACTGCATTATGGGCAAGCTAGGTTGTAGGGAGAGTCGTATCCGCGTATTGGTTATCCACAAAGAAGTTAGCAGCATCCTTCGGACTACTGCAGCCTGTATTTTATGGTGTATAAGCCACACGTTGAGTCGCTAAGTTCCCTGTCCCCTGATTGGATGGTAATACTATACTTTTTACTTGTCACAAACACATACACACTCTCATACACGCACATGCATGCATGCTAACACAAACACACTGATGCACAGAGAAACACATTGATAAACACAGACATTCACTCACATGTGTATTTGGCTGTGTTTATTTCTGAGTGTGCCTGACATTGTCTACCTGTGTATGTGTTTAAATGTGTGTGCCTGACAGTGTATTTATGATGGCTGTCTTCAGGGGGTGACTGTGACAGGATAAGTGCGACAGGGTGAGGCAGGTGAAAGAGACAGGATTGGGGGTGAGGGAGATTGAGTGTGATGGCATAATGGGTGAATGTGACATAATTACATGGGTTTAAGTGACAGGATGGGTGTGGCAGGGTTGGGGGAGTGATTGTGACAGAGTTGGGGGTGAGTGTCACAATGTGTGTGACGGGATGAGAGGAGGTAAATGTGACAAGATTATGCGTGTTAATGTGACAGGGTGAGTGACGGGATGAGAGGAGGTAAATGTGACAAGAT